AAAATCTGGCTCAGGGCTGGGGGGGGGAGGGAGGGAAGAGATGCTGGGGGAAGGGGCAGTTCAGGAGGTCAGCCCAGGGTTTCCTGCATTCACTCATTCTGGGGGCCTGGTGTGCATCCGGAGCTGTGCTGTCTACACTGTCCAATAGCCACTAACCATATGTGGCTACTGAGCACTCGAAATATGGCTAGTGTGGAACTAAATTTGTAACTTTTTCACTTTTAAATTTAAATTAAAATTTCAAAGTTGACACTCAATTCTAATTGGGAAATGTTTAAAGAATGCTGGAACAACTTGGGGATGTGACTATAAAGTTAATGACATATCTAAATATAGAATTTATGACAATCTAAATATAGATTTTTGATGAAAATTTAGCTTCTGAATTTATATGTGCTGTAAGTGTACAACAAACTGGATTTAAAAGCTTAGAATAAAAAAAAGTAAAATACCTCAATAATTTTTATAATCATTACATGTTAGAATAATATTTTTATATGCTAGGTTAAGAAAACTATATTAATTTCATGTTTCTTTTTGCTTTTTTTTAATGTGGCTATTAGAAAATTTAAAATTATATATGGCTCACATGTATTTCTACTGATTAGTATGGTCTAGAATATAGGTATGCCTTAGAGATACTGTGAATTTGGTTCCAGACCACCTCAATAAAGCAAATAGTGTGAAAAAACAAGTCAAAATTTTGGTTTCCCAGTGCACATAAAAGTCATATTTACACTATACTGTCATCTATTAAGTGTGCAATAGTCTATGTCTAAAAAGACAATGTATATACCTTAATTTAAAAACTTTATTGCTAAAAATGCTAACTATCATCTGAGATTTCAGCAAGTCATAATCACCAATCATGAATCACAATAACAAACATTATAATGAAAAAGTTTGAAATGCTGCAAGGATTACCAAAATGTGACCCAGAGACACAAAGTGAGCAGTGCTGTTGAAAAAATGGTGCTGACAGACTTGCTCACACAGGGTTGCCAACAAACCTTTAAACTGTAAAAAATGCAGTATCAGCAAAGTGGAATAAAGCCAAATTCAAAAAGGGAGGTAGGCCTGTAATCTGGGTTGTATTTCCCCCACTTGTGCCATTCGATATTCAAAAGCAGAAGTGGTTGTAAGAAGCCACTAAAAGGTTTGTGCTAAAATTACAAATTCTAGAAGAAAATGAGCTAATTTTGTCAGATGGTAGGTCAAGTGGTGTAGTGAATGACCTCTGCCCCATCAGGGTAAAGTCTGTCCCTGGACACGCTGCCTGGGGAAGAAGCCACAGCCAATTTCTTATTCCAAAGCCCAGGTCCAAGACTGGATTTGTCAAAGACACTAACATGGAAAAGGTGGCTCCTGGAGTGACACAGGGGCCTGGGCTTGGCCATGAGATGGATCCAAGAACCAATACACTAGGAAAGACCAAAATGTTAGTGCACCCCCAACCCTGCATCTGTCCATGCTGTCCCTCTTCTTTAGACTGCCCTTTCTTCTCTTAACTCTCTGGAGAACTCTATGCATGCTTCCAGATACAGTTCAAACATATTCCCTTCTAAAGCCTTTCCTGACCAAATAATGTCCCCATCTCACATCCTTAGGTGGCTGACCTCATCTATTCTCACCCCTTCCTGTCAGCCTCCATGCTTTTAGAGTTGCCCCCTCAAACCTGACTTTTTTCTAAAGCACAGAATGTGTCTCTCCCCCGTGGGAAACTGCCACTGAGTCCCCATTACCTAAAACAGTTCTGAAACAAGCAGCAGAGTCACCTAGCAGGCTCCTAAAACACAGATGGCTGGGCCCCATCCCAGAGTGTCTGATCAGCAGGTCTGGGCTGGGGCCTGCTTTCTGCATTTCTAACAAGGTCCCAGGTGCTACTGGCGGTCCAAGGGCTACACTTTGAAAACAGAAGATCAAGTGCACTCTGCACTGTTGAATTCAGGGCCCCACAACATGGCCTCTAATTACTCTCCTGACCTCACCTTTCACCAGGTTCTGCCTGAAATGCTAGTCTACCCATTACCCTGACACCACATCCGTCATGCCTCCACCCCACCGCCCATGCTGTCCCTTCTGCTTGAAACCTTTTCCCCTCAGCATCCACCCAGTTCCAGTACCACCTTCCTTGATTTCACAACATCTAAGACCCACATCTCCTCCAGAAAAAGGAGAAGGCACCTTTCAGGGTCTACAAAGTAACAAATGTAGGCTGTAGGAGCAGCTATAAAAGAGAGAGAGAGAAATGGTTTTGGCCAAAGCAGCAGCCCTGGAGAAGGAAGTGATAATGGTGGACAGAAAATCCTTGTGCATCCATTTAAACCACCTCATGACAGTCAGAGTCCAGTCACAAACTGCCCTTTATCTCTATCTGGTCTCCCAGCTGCCTTCTAGCTGGACAGCTTGTTGGGAGTGAGGGGGTCACTCAGCCTTTTGTTTCTCACACTTGCCTGCAAGGTAAGGATAAAGCAGCAACTAGACAGAATGAAAATTCAATGACACAATGCAAGAAAAACTCATAAGAAAAGGCGTAGGATACAGTACACCCTCAATAAATGTTAGCTATTGCTGGTACTATCCTTGGACCCGATAAAGTAATGAACTCAGTACCCAGCCATACTCAGTAACGGGAATAGTCACAAAGAGGATGTTTTTCTTAGTGATTACATAGTCAGCAGTTCAATAAAGGTTGTATGGATGGGTAGGAGGATGGACAGATAAATGGATGGGTGGGTGAGCAGGCAGGCAGGAAAACTCCTTTGTATAACATCAAAGTGGTTCTGTGAGCCCAATTTGGCAATAGAACTTTGAAAGCTTAAAAATTCTCCTGGAGATTCTCAGACAAGAACACACAAAAGCTCAAAAATGTTCATCACAGAGCTGTTTATAACAGAAAAAAAAAAAACAGGACGCAGCCTAAATGTCCAACAATAGAGAATGGCATTGTCAGAAGGAATTCCCTAGAACAATAAAAAATAAAGACGCAGGGTGTTTCCATATTGATATTGAAAGTCATTCTCAATGTTTCTTAAATAAAAAGAGTGAAAGGTAAAGTAATAGGCATAAATTCATATTTTTAAAAGGACTTTGGGTGTATACACATCTAGAAAAAGACTAGAAAACCATATTCCAAATACGTTATCAGTGGTTATCGCTGGTGCAAAAATTGGGATGGTTTTAGTTTTTCAAAATTTTTTCATTTCTATATACTCTTCTCTCTGATGGCCACTTACAAAATATTTACTTCTTAAATGCAAAATAAACATTTAAAATGCAGCTCCATGAATCAGGAGAGAGGAAACCAAGGCTCAGCTTCATTGGCCTAGGCTGTGTGACCATGAGCAAGGGGCCTGCCCTCTCTGTGCCAGTCCCCTCCTCTGGAAAAGGTGACCAGTCTTCCTGTCCTGTTCATCTCCCTGGGTTCCTGACACAGTGGATGAGACAGGCTTGAACTGCATGGCTGACTGTCAGGTGGCGGTGGTTTTACTTCGCGACTGACAACTAGAAGGCTCCCCTGAGAGGCACTGGAAAGATGGCCTCTGTCAGGGGTGGGGGGTGGGGGGCGCAGCAGTTTCAGTTTCAGTGGATGGAGCTCTGGGCGGGGCTGGGAAGCCAGGTAATCACCTGCCCCAGATGCTGGCTTCCTTCAATTCTGTGAAATGAGAGGGATAAACTACAACTACACTTTCTAAACTGTCCTTTGCTTTCCTGAAACAGCAGAATCCTTTTCTCAAATGAAGCACAGATATTCCCATTAAGCATCAGTACAGTTCCTAAGAGGCATTCTGTGCAAAAAAAAAAGAAGCCACCCCAAACTCTAATTCCCATTATTTTAATGGGAAAAATTATAAAGCATGACAAGTCAACTCCAAACTTCCCACTAATTTCCTAAAATGTAATTAAAACAGGTAAGGCTATCTCTATACATAGTAAACCATCATGACAGGAGGTAAAATACTTAAAACATCCCCTCCTGGCCACAGATCATTAACAACAACCAGTAATACCATTAGTAGCACTAACTCAGGCCCAGGCTGGCTCTCAGCACCAGCACCATCAGGGATGCCCATCCCTGCTGACCCCTGGCTCTGTCTACACAGTGTTTACATGTGATTCTGCCAGTCTCCCAGTTGCACCTAGAATTCACTTGAGACTTTTCCTGCACATCATTTTGTTACAAATGTTGTACTGAGTTTTGGGACATAAATATGAAAAAAAGTTTGAAGAGACACATACTTTCTAGGAAGCTTGGGTTTTAACACCTAAGAAGCGTTAATACCAGGAACATGTCAATAGGGGAGACACTGTGCAGGGCAGGTTTATCCTATGAAAACCAGCGCCATTGCGGAGTTCCACCAGCGTTGAGGGGTGATGGTGAGTTGGAAAGGTGGGCCGTGAAGCTCCATGTGCACTGTACACACCAAAATGTGAGGGTGCTGATGGAGAATGGGGGGCTGCTGAAGGGCCCCCTTCCTTAGTGCAGCCACGGAAAGGAATCCCTATGTAACAGCCCCAGCAGCAGTAGTGACAATGCCGCTACTACAAACACCACAGCCGGCACTCACTGGGCTCCTACATGTGTCAGGTCCCCTTCCAGGTACCTATCACAAATTAGCTCATTTAACCCCTGTAACAACTCTGTGAGCTATAACTATTGTTATCCCCAGCTTATAGATGGAGAAACTGAGGCACAGTGAGTGAGGTTAAGAACTTGCCTAGGGTCTTCCAGCTTGTACGTGGCAGAGCTGGGACTGGAGGCCAGGCAGTAGAGCTTCAGAGTTCCCTCCAGCTCCCAAGCACTGCCCTTACCCCCAGGAGTGGGGAGGCTCTGCAGAAAGGGGAGGGCAGGGGACTCAGAGTGCCCCTACTTCACCCTCTCCTCAACCCGACCCTAGCCCTCAAAGTAGATGCTGGGAAAGGGCGTAGGCTCTCAGAACCAGGCGAACTCTAGCCCACCAGGCCATAGGGGAAGGGGTCATTGAGGGTGGCTCCCTTACCCACAGCTTCCCGTCGTAGTAGTATGCTCCCAGGAGCTTCACGATGTAGGGGTGGTCACAGGTGGCCAGGATCTCAATCTCCACAATGTAGTCTTCCAGCTCTTCCTCACTCTTGGTCTCAATTACTTTGGCGGCAGCCAAGTCACCTGACTCCTTGTTTTTGGCCTGCAAAGCAGAGACCCAGAAGGTCAACAAGGCATGCTCAGCAGAAAACTGACCCCTGGAAGCCAACTCAGAGAGGCCTGGTGAGTGTGGCAACAGAGGCCGGATGTCCAGACGGAGACTGGGACGCTGAAGCAGGAGGTACATGGGTCTTGACAATGGCCAGTGTTGCTCATTATGGAAGAAGAGGGAGCTTACATGAAAACCAATGTGCTGTGTTTAATAACCATGATTTTTTTGAAAATACAACACACCCACACCAAGGGATAAACAACAGAAGATGGCACAGCTCTACAGATACCAACATGGAAAGACTGCGGAGTTGCTCAGTAAAAGATCTGAGACATTGAACAATAAAAATGGCATGATTTTTAATGAAAAAATGGAAAACTAAACTTTCAAAAGTGCTCACACAGGTATGTAAACAGGTAATACAGGTTCTGGAAAGATACAGTCAGAGGACAAGATAGAGGAGAGATAATCTGAAATGGGAAGAGACTCAAAGGGCACTCTCACACTTTCTGTATTGTTTTAAAATGTTAATGTTTCATGCATTTATTTGCATCATTTCATATACATCAAAAGAAAAATGAAAAAGGGTTTTTTTTAAGTGCCCACCAATTACAGTGGAAATACTTCCTAGATGCATCTCATCTAGGTATAAGAACTGTTCCTTATCTGATGAAAAAGATGGAATTTCACACTTATGAGGATAGCTACAGTTTTTTAAAAAACAAAAAAAGTGTTGATGGGGACGTGGAAAAATTGGAACCTCTGTGCAATGCTGGTAGGAATGTAAAATGGTGCAGCCACCATAGAAAATAACTCAGCAGTTTATCAAAAGGTTAAACATAGCACTAACCAATGACCCAGCTGTGTCTTTCCTAGGTATGTTTGCAAAAGAGCTGAAAGCAGGGATTCAGGTAGATCTGCACACTGATGGTCACAGCAGCTCTAAACTCAGGAGCCAGAAAGTGGAAACAACCCAGGTGTCCATCAGTAGGTAAATAAACAAAATGTGGTATCGACAGTCAATGTAATATTATTCACCCTCTGAAAGGAAGTAAAATCAGACACATGCTACCACATGGATGAGCCTTGAAGGTATTACGCTAAGGGAAATAAGGTAGGCACAGAAGGACAAATACTGTATGATTTCACTTACATGAGGACCCTAGAGGAGCCGAATTCATAGGGACAGGGAGTAGAGGCTACTGGGGGCAGTGGGGCATTAGTGTTGAACTGGGTACACAGTTTCTGTTCGGCAAGACAAAGAAGTCCTGGAAATGCCCAGTGGCGAAGGCTGCACAACACTGTGACTGTACTAATGCCACTGAACTGGACACTTATGGCTAAAACGGTCAGTTTTATGTTATGCATATTTTACTACAATTTTAAAAACTGAGAGCAACAGCAAGACAGCCATGTAAGAGGTGTAAGCAGTTCCCATGATGAGTGCGTGTCCAGGAAAAGGGAGTGACACCGCAGTTCCCGCAGTCACAGAAGTGTTCACCCACCACGTTGCACAGGGTCCGGAGTGTAGAGGGCATGTTTTCCCACATCGTGGTCCCTCAAAGTGAGCTGCTCGCCTGCAACCTTTGGGCGGCAGTCCAGTGGAAAGGCCTGGACACCACAAGCTGTCATGCATGTGCCTACGGTGATGCCTTCTGGAGGACAGTACCACACTCACCTTTCAGGACGCCTGTACAACCCGGTCCACTGGACATGCTGATGGTCAGTTGCTGCTGAGTGTCTAGCACCCCATGAGTGACAATGGATATCCACATGACCTCACGTGACACCACAGTAACCAGCACCTCAGTGTCCCCATTGTACAGGCTTAGAGAAGGGACATGGCTGTAACTAAGACAGTGGCACCAGAATTTCAATCTGGGTCCTCTATCTTCTAAGGTCTGTGCACCAAGTCACCCTATCATCTACAGAACTCAGAAGCCTCTAAGGCCAGATGCCAGCAGACACTTTTAAAGGCATTCCTAGGCCAGCCTGCACAGGCACCCACCATGCAGAGATAGAACGACCTTCCTTTGACCTCAAGGAGCTCAAGGTCCAGCAGAAGAGACCCCCTCCTCTACTGCCTGAAAGAGACAGTGTGCCTGGGAGGAGGAGGCGGGGGCAGGACCTGGGAAGGGGTGAACTCTGCCAGGGAACTTTCTGGAAGAAGTGATGCCATTAGTCAATTTTTATCCTCATTTATAAATTTATTCTCCGTTTTGGTAAATGGTTCTGTGAACTGAGCTGCTAAGTCCCCAAGGTCCCCACACAGTGATAACAATGGGCCCAGTCTGCATGGAACACTGGTCTACACTTCAACAGGAGCCAACACATTCATGTCCTCCACCCACTCCAGTGCAGGTGCTATTATCATCTCACCAGCAGACGGGGAGACCGAGGCAGAGCCCCCAGGGACCTCAGTGACAGGGCTGGTCCGGGACTCTCGCTCTCCCTCTCGGCTGAGCACACACACATTTAGTTGACTAGGTGCCGCCCTGCCCTTCCTTGTGAAGCGGATCTCAGCTGCCCCCCTGGAGCACGGCAAAGCGTCCTTTCCCACTGTGCGCACTCCTGCTGCTCCTCCTCTCCGCACCCAGCTCAGGCCCGCTCTGCTCCTCCACAGCGCAGGGCAGAGGGCGGAGGGCTGAGCCGGGCGGCCAGAGCTATAGCCAGCTGCCCAAGGCAACTGCCCGGGCCAAGCTCTCCCAGCCCCCAGCCAGGGCAGCACGGGAAAGGCTGGACTGCCCAGGCTACCCCTCAGTCACTCACCTCTCGCTCCTGAGACATGATGAAAGAGACCACATGTCACCTTTTCCCAGGTTTCTTAAAAGGGCTGTTTTCTACTATAGGCGGGGACCATTTCCCAGGAGAGCACAAAACCTGACTTGCCCACCATGCAGAGAGGCAGCCCTGACCACAGGGTTGGGCCTCCACCCAGTTCCAGTATCAACACCGAGGACACAGCACCTGGCTCAGACTTCAGAGACCAGAGACCAGAGTCCATCAGAAAGGGGTTAATAGCAGCCGTGGTGCATCAAGTAACTTGGCCAACATGAAATACTTTAAAAGCCTGGTTGAGGCAGCACCTCATCACCTCAAGGCCACAGAGGATGCAATGACAGCTGGTGATAAAAACAGCCAACACCACCTGAGCGTCCACTGTGTGCCAGGACAGGTCTTAAATGGGACTTCACTCTATCATCCATCTAGCTCTTGGATCTAAGTGTAGGCACTCCCAATTTACAGGTGAGGAAACGGACTCATAGAGGCAGAGATTTGCCTCAGATCACACAGCAAGTGGGGAGTGACGGCTGGATCCAGACACAAGCCTGCCTGGCTCAAAGAGACTAGGCTCTGAATCCCTTCCCACCAGGCCCTGCTGGCAAGTGTCCAGGGTTCCCGCCCATCTCTCTTTCCTAAAGATAAATGAAAACCACAGCCAACATCATGGTCAGCAGCTCCAATTACCGAAACGGCCAAAACTTAATCCATTCGTAAGCCCATAACGTGATGTTAGCCATCATGTCCATTTCTCAGGTTAGCAGACTGAGGCCAGGATTGTGATCTGTGGTGTTTTCTTCAGATATCAACAGACACTTTCCTTCACTACACTAGGCTGCCAGGAACCAACTTACTCCCCATTCATTCATTCAACCATTACTTACCCAGCCCATGTTACATGCAAGGCACTTCTTTAGTGAACAAGATGGATTCTGCCTAGAGCGAGATTTGGGTAGGAATCACTGCACTCCTATAATATAATTCACAGTTCCCTGATTATTCCTCAGCAGAGATAACCAACCTCATTCCCAGGCCATAGGAATGCAAAGGTGCAGTTCCACCACCATCTCTGGTGGGTGGTGACTCATCCCAACCAATCTATCTGCACACTGTGAGCAGGGAGAGAAATGTGATCACATCAGCCAATGAAACACAACCTCAGAGCAGCGGAGAGACTGCTGAGACTGCCCCCAGCCCTGCTTTACTGCTAGCCTCCAGCAGGATGTCAGCAGGCCTGGAGCTACTGGGCCATGGTGCCCCCAAGGGGACCCTGAAAATTAAACCAGCTGAGCCTAGAAATTGAAGCAGCAGAGCCAAGAGAGAGCATGAGGGGACACTATTTGATCCCCTCAATTCATTTTTACACCAGGGAGGCACTATTATTAAGAGACTCATTTTATAAGAAAAGTGATGATCAGAGTGGTGAAGTCACTTGCCCAAGGTCACATGCAGGTTAAGTAACAAGTTAGGGGGCTGAATTTGAGCGTGTGTGGCTTCAAAGTCCATGTTCCTAACTGCTTTGCCAGAGGTCAAAGACTGCAAAGGTCCTGTCTGGGCCTCAGTTTCCTCCTCTGTACAGGAGGGTAGGAAATGATGCCCAGTTCTCTCCATGGTCTGATGTGAGGGCACCTTGGGGAGTGGGTGAGTCCTGGAAAGCTAAGGGTGGTCCACGTGGATGGGGCACCCGTGGGAGTTGACAGGCAAGAAATCATAAATAACAAGTGGCTGTCTGTGGCCGCTGACGTCCATGTCTCCCACTGGCGGGGCCAAGGCCAGGGTCCAGCAAAGGGTGGGGAAGCCCCCGCCCAGTCCTGCACTGCTGGCCAGCAGTGACTAAGGCCTCAGATACAGCCTTGGGAGCAGACACACAGTGGCCACTTGTATTTACTAGCCCAGGCACCTCCGTGGGAACAATCCTCCCCCTTGTGCAGTGTGGGGCCCAGCCTGGAGGAGGTGGGGACAACCTTCTCTGCTCAGAGCCCTGCTCCACCCAAGGGGCCCAGGCAGCCCCGTCAGGCACTGGGACCTTCCTGGAAGTCAGCCACGCAGCTGACTGGGGGCAGCCCCCAGGCCCTCCGCTGCTCTCCTGGCTACAAGCTGCTCACTGTCTCCTTCCCCGCTCCTCCAGGGAAAGAGCTGGTATCACAGAACTTAGGGACCAGGAAGAACATTAGCCACCATCCTAATCCCCACCTCCCCAGTCCCCAGTC